TTTGCTTTGTTTCTTACATTCCACATACAAGTGAAATCATATGGTATTTGTCTTTTTCTGACTGATTTATTTCATTTAGTATTATACCCTCTAGCTCCATCCATGTTGTTGCAAATGGCAAGATTTTGTAATCATTGTTATAAATCAAGCATCAGTATGTGTAGGTATGTTTCACAGGTCTGCGCATGCATGTCTGTACACAAATATGTTAACCTCTTAAACAATTTCATACTATTTATCCATAATTTACTCACTATAGCACTGATAAGTTTGGTATCTAGTAGTGGATGTTTTGGTGCTCTCTTTACTGTTCTCTTGGCTATATTTGCATTTTGCATTTTGATATACAGAGTTGGGATCTGCTTGTCTAAAAAAAATAACTAGCCAAGGTGTTTATATGGATTGCATTGAATTTAAAGATCAAATTGGGAATAACTGACTTTATTTTATTTTTTTACAAATAGTTTATTGTCAAGTTAGTTTCCATATAACACCCAGTGCTCATCCCCACAATGCCCTACTCCATGCCCATCACCCCTCCTCCCTCCCACTCCCATCAGTCCTCAGTTTGTTCTCAGCATTCAAGAGTCTCTCATGGTTTGCCTCTCTCCCTCTCCCCCACTATTTCCCCCCTTCTTCTCTCCCACGATCCTCTGTTAAGTTCCTCCTAATCCTCCTATACGTGCAAACATGTGGTATTTGTCCTTCTCTGCCTGACTTATTTCACTCAGCATAACACCTTCAAGTTCCATCCATGTTGCTACACATGACCAGATTTCATTCTTTCTCATTGCCATGTAGTATGGAATAATTGACTTTAAAATATTGAATCTTTTAGGGCACTTGGATGGTTCAGTTGGTTATGCGTCCAACTCTTGGTTTGGGCTCAGGTCATGATCTCACGGGTTTGTGAGTTCGAGCTCCCCATCAGGCTCTGCACTGACAGCATGGAGCCTGCTTGGGCTTATCTCTCTCCCTCTCTCTCTGCTCCTCCCTCACTCTCTCAAAATAGATAAATAAACTTTTATTTTTTTAAAATGTTTTATTTGTTTCTAGGAGAGATAGAGAGACAGCGTGAGCAGGGGAGGATCAGAGAGAGAGGGAGTCACAGACTGAAACAGGCTCCAGGCTCTGAGCTGGCAGTCAACACAGAGTCCGACGCGGGGCTCGAACCCACAAACCGCGAGATCATGACCCAAGCGAAAGTCGGACGCTTAACCGACTAAGCCACCCAGGCGCCCCGATAAATAAACTTTTAAAACATTGAATCGTTCAATCCATGAACCAGGTATATTTCTTTTTTTTTTTTAAACATTTATTTATTATTGACAGAGTGAGACAGAGAACGAACAGGGGAGGGACAGAGAGAAGGAGACACAGAATCTGAAGCAGATTCCAGGCTCTAAGCAAGCTGTCAGCACAGAGCCTGATGCGGGGCTCGAACCCACAAACTGTGAGATCATGACCTGAGCCAAAGTCAGGTGCTCAACCGACTGAGCCACCCAGGTGCCCCTAACCAGGTATATTTCTATAATTATTTAGGTCATCTTGAATCAAAATTATTTAATAATTTTTAGTGTAATGTGGGAAATAAGCTTAGGAATCCCCCAGGCTTATACCAATGGGTTAACAAGACATAAAGTAAAAAGCAATGGGATGTTCTCACCTGATTTTGGGTAAATAAGACTAGTACCGTAGAATAGGGAGGTGCAAAGGCACCCCAAAAGAGAGAGAGGGTGCAGAGCCCCCAGAATAGACAGGAGTGCAAGGCACCCATTACAAAGGTATATGAGGTAAGCAAGATTAGGTATTCAGGGAAAAGCACCCCCCAATTTAGTACTATAGCAAAAAGCTGCTTTCACATGAAGAACCAAATTAGGTAAGCAGGTAAATAGAGCTATAGACCGCTACACTTCGCTGTGGGTGAAGCTGCCCAGAATGGAGATGATTAACAAAAGAAAAGGTGTCTTGTTAACCTTGAAGTGTTTGCCCTATCTGCCTTTTTTTAAAATGTTTTTATTTATTTTTGAGATAAAGACAGCGTAATCAGGGGAGGGTCAGAGAGAGAGGGAGACATAGAATCTGACACAAGCTCCAGGCTCTGAGCTATTCCTCAGCACAGAGCCCGATGCGGGGCTTGAACCCACGAACCGTGAGATCATGACCCAAGCTGAAGTCGGACGCTTAACTGACTGAGCCACCCAGGTGCCCCTGCCCTATCTGTCTTATCCCCTAATAAAATAATATAAACAGACACGGTGCCTCCTGTCTGCCATTAACAACCATCTGTCCATCTGCCAGGCACCAGGATTTTGTTTTTGTTTGACCCAAACCTCAAACACTGTATATTTTCAAAACCCCCTTTCCTTCATGCCTGTGAGTTAATGTTCATCAATTCATTGTCTCTTTGTGCATGCCCATCAGGTTTGTAAGCCTTCTGATCTTAATAGATAAGGGCAAGGACCCTTATTCGGGCTCTTGTCTTTTCCTGGACATTAACCATCTCTCTCTTATTTTAATCCTGCATCCGCTCTTTCACTGGCTGAGAGAGAACTTTAGACAGAATCTATAACAGTGTAGAGGTTTTGCAGGTATTTAATTAGATTTATTTCTAGATATTTGATTTTTAATCAGCTTTATCAGGATATAATTTACAAACAATAAGATACATACATTTTAATGATTTCAACAAACATATTCACCAGTGGAGTCACTATCCCATCAAGACACAAAACATTTCCTTCATCTGAGAAAGTTCTGTTATGCCCTCTTTACAATAAAAATATATATATATATATATATTCCGACCTTCAAGCCAGGCAAACACTGATTTGACGCAATTTATATCAATATAAATTAATTTTGCCTCTTCCCAAACTTTATATATATGGAATCACACAGAAAGCACTCTGGTGTCTGATATATTTCCCTGAGTATAATAGTTTTTTTGAGATTTATCTATGCTATTGATTATACCAATAGTTTGTTCTTTTTTATTCCTTAGTTGTACCTTAACATATGAATATATCACAGTTTGTTTATACATTTCCTGGTTGATGGACATTTGGATTGTATCCACTCTAGGGCTATCATAGATGAAATTGCCATGAACATTCCTATTCAAATCTTTTTGAGGAAATATGATTTGAACTCTGGGAAAATTCGTAAGAGTGAAATTTCCTGTATTTATGGTAAGTGTAAGTTTAACTTTTCAAGAAACTGTCAAAATGTCTTTCAAAATTGTTAAACTTCTCACCAACAATGAATGAGGAATGAGTGCTCTCATTGTTTCGTATCCTTGAAAATACTGGGGAATGTCATACTTTTCGATTTTAGCAATTCTGTTGGCTGTGTAGTGGTACTTAATTGGGTTTTTTTGTTTGTTTGTTAGTTTTACATTTCCCTGATGATTAATAACATTGACCATCTTTCCATGGGCTCTTTGGTGATTTGTGCATGTACTTTTGTGAAATACTTGTTCAAATCTTTGGTTATTTTTCATTTCATTGCTTGCCTTATTTTGAATTTTAGGAGGTCTTTATATATTTTCTGAATACAAACCCTTTGTTGGTTACACATATTTTTTTCCTGGTTTCCCACCTCATTTCTTAACCGTAGCAGAAGCTTTTATTTTAAATTCAATTTCTATGTATACTCCATTACTACACTACTTTTATTACTACATCTTAAGTCTAGAAATCAAATAATATAATTCACATTTTTGGAGTCTTTTTCAAATTATTTTGTTTATACTAGGTCTTTCTCATTACCATATAAATTTGGGGGTAGTTTTGTCAAGTTATACAAAGATGCCTGCTGAAATTTTGATATTAAATACACTAAATTTATAGATTGATTTTGAGAGAATTTATATCTTAACAATACTGTATTTCCTGATCCAGGACCTTGTTTTATTAAATTTACCCTTAGGTATTTCACATTTTTGGAAGCTATCATGAAGTTATATATTATATAATTATAATAATATATATAATAATTTCAATTTCCAATTATTCATCACTAGAATACATTGATACAATTGACTTTTTAAAACTATCTATCTATAGCTGCAACTCCACTAGTTCTATAGTAGGTTTATTGTTAGATCCCTTAGGATTCTTTAAATACATGGTCATGTGATTTGTAAATAAAGACTTACTGCTTTTTGAACTATAAATTTGTGAAAGAATTTTCATTTTTGGTGTTTAGTTCTGAAAAATTCATCAAGACTGCTGCACTACGGCCTAATTGGCTCACCTCATGGAAGGGGTTCAGGTATCTAGTGGCCTCTAACAAGAGGAGCTATCAGCTGCCGTTTTTCCAAGTTCTAAAAATGAAGCTGCCTGTACAGTCTATACTTATGTAATAAGTATAGTGACAGGTGGTTGGGTTTCCACTCCCAACTTTAATTCTGATTTTCAAATAAAAATAACTAAAGTATATTGATTTGGGGGGGATTTAATATAAAAAGAACAAAACAGATATTAAGAATTTTTTAAAAACCACTTTCCTGGGCTCTTTTCCTCACTCACTTCGTCTATGCATTTTAGCGGAGGGAAAATGGAGAGCACTGGTAGCAGTGGAAGAAAAGCATATCCTTGGAGCAAAGCAGGGGAAGAAGCAAGTCCCCAGAGAAGAACTGAGAATGGCCAATACACCCCTGAGAAGATACTGCCTTTCCCTGGCAGTCAGAGAAAAGCCCAGGAATATACAAAGAGGGGAGAGACACAGAGCCCAGCCTGGTGCTGTTCAGGACGAGGTGTCAGAGGGAAGGTGCGCAGGATGACCAGCTCTGCGCCACCCCGCGGGCAGCAGCCGGCACGGGTTGGGGGCGGTGCTGTTCGCAGTGACGAAGGCCTCACGTGACCCGCCAACGCTGACTTGAGCGCCTACCTCTAGCGTCAGATCTGGCCGGCGCTCGCTCCCTTCTCGGTACCTGCTCCCGGTGGCCCCAGGGGCAGCCCCAAAGGGTAGGAGGCGCAAGGGGAGCAAGTAAGGGACCAGAGGAGGGGGAGCGTCCCCTGGGCTCGGTGTGGGAGAGTCCACGCGGCCCGCGGAGCCCTCCTCGGGTTCCAGCCGTCCGGGGGCGGAGCCGCGAAAAGACTACAGCCCTCACGCCCAGCTGCGGCCCGCGTTTGGCGGCAGAAATGGTAGGGCGGAGGGCTGGACCGCTATGAGGCAACTACCCTTCACAAACACCTGCCTCCTGCACGCCCAGCCCCGCCCCCGTTCTTCTTGGTGTAGAAAATGGTGGTCAGCGCGGGGGATGGGGCGTCCGGGGTTGGGGGTGGCAGTGGGACAGCTGTAGGGTCCCGGGGCCGAAGAGAGGGTGGTTGGCGACGGGTTGGGCCCGAGCGCCGGTTGCAGCAGTACCCGCTCCCCTACCCCTGCCCTCTGCAGGTGTGCGGGTCTAAGTGTCGCGGCGGCACACTCGCGGCGAGAATCAGGAGGAGGAGACTGCAAGGATAGGCCCAGGTCGGTTTGCGGGACAGTGGGAGAGGGAGGGGAAACGTGTGGAAAAACCTGAGACCCCCAAATCCCACCCCTCCCCCAACAGCCCGTCCTCCATCTTGGTGCCTGCAGAAGCCTGGGCTTGGATGGGCAGGGAAAATGGTGGGCTTTGGGCGAGGGAGGGGAGAGGAGCGACTGGGAGGGCGTAGGGCTTGGACTGGGGGCCCCCTAGAGGGCGTAGGAAGCCTCTCAGGTGGGAAAAATGAAATTTTAAAAAGCCTAAGAGATCCGGGGCCCTGAATTTTGGAACGTGCGTAGTAGGGCCTCTGTCCTCGGTGCTGATCAATCCTGATAAGTCCATCTCACGTCTTTTGTCTCTTAGGAGCAATGGCGTCCAAACAAGAGAAAGCAGTAAAAAATCTCAACATGGAAAATGCCATCCAGGAAAACAAAAAAAAGAATGAAAAGGAGCAAGTTGCAAATAAAGGAGAGCCCTTGGCCATCCCTTTGGAAGCTGGTGAATATTGTGTGCCTAGAGTAAATCGTAGGTGGTTCCGTGTTAGGCAGCCCATCCTGCAGTATAGATGGGACGTGATTCAGAGGCTTGGAGAGCCACAGGCCAGGATGAGAGAAGAGAATATGGAAAGGATTGGGGAGGAGGTGAGACAGCTGATGGAAAAGCTGAGGGAAAAACAATTCAGTTATAGTCTGCGGGCAGTTAGCACTGACCCCCCTCACCATGACCGTCATGATGAGTTTTGCCTTATGCCTTGAATCCTGATGTTGTCTCTGAAGTTAATAGGAAGACACACCTGCTTCCTAAACTTACATGTTCTCAATGTTCCTTTGTTGTAAACCTTTTGGTGTTAACATGTCTCTTGTGAGTCTCCTATGACTGCTTCTGATTGAATATTGTATTTTGACCCAATGTGTAAGATTCTGTCAGCTGGGGAGTTTTACCCTATTGCATGGCAAGATGCTCATTATCTATTGTGAAGTTAATAAAGCAGTTTAAAAAGATATTCTCTGTATTCTTTTCTACTTCAAATCTTCTATATTTTTATGTGAACACACAGTCTAAAAATATATAAAGTAAAAAGTTAACGTGTTTATCTCTTTATTGTAGAATTATGAATAATTTTAACTTTGTTACCTATATTTTTTCATTTCAGAAATAAACACATTACCTAGTGCAAGAGCTTGACCACCTATAAAAACAATGTGAACACTTACCCAAACACTTGTGACAGAATCTCAGTTTTAGCTTACCTCTGGATCTCTATTTAGAAGTATAAACTAATAGTGATGAGACACATCTTTTTCAAAACCATACTCATCAGAAAGATGATGATATGGGGCGCCTGGGTGGCTCAGTCAGTTAAGCGGCCGACTTCAGCTCAAGTCATGATCTCGCAGTTCGTGAGTTCGAGCCCTGCATCGGGCTCTGTGCTGACAGCTCAGAGCCTGGAGCCTGCTTCAGATTCTGTGTCTCCTCTCTCTGCCTTTCCCCTGCTCATGCTTTGTCTCTCTGTCTCTGAAAAATAAATAAACTTTAAAAAACATAAAGAAAAAAGATAGATGATGATAACTCCAAGGGCTGCTATGTGTACTTGATGAAGCAATAAGTTTGTAACATTTCTCCAAGTTCTTGTTCCCTCTCTAATGTGTGCATGACCCAACTCTTTAGATACTCCTTTCAACTATTTGAGGAAGTTTCCAAAGCCGGTTCTTCCTTATGCTCCCAAACAAGTCCAGTAAACTAAGAGGTAAGAACTTCCATTCCTCTGCTACTGTGCCCCATCCCCATCCTCTCCCCTGGGTGTTAATGTTCATGAATCCTCAAGGTGGGAAAGTCCCACAGATTTTTTTCTTTTTTCTAGAATACTCAATAAATTGAATCCTCACTCTTCTCTAAAACTATAAGTCCCCTCTCCCTTTTTAGCTTCATGAAAAGACCTTATCTATCTAGTTCTCTATTTCTGTAAGTGTGTAGTTGTTTCCTAAGAAACCTCTGTAGTTCATTAGACCATAGAGGATGTGTAAGGGAACACAGCCACTTTCAATCTTAGACGGTCTCTCCTCATGGCAGCCCCCTGAAACCTAGGAATATAATTAACCTACTTCTGAGTTGGATGCCAAGAGATTATGTCAACCGATACCCAAATGTGGGTAATTATAAGAAGTCCATTGGAGGACTGTTGTGTTTAGGTTCCAATAGAACTTGGGAGATTAAGTTGCCTTGGAGTGTGCTATGTAGGTGAAATACATAGTATATGTGAAGACAGTCTTGTGGAAATGAACTTAGAAGGTAGGATTCTAGGGGCACCTGGGTGGCTCAGTCAGTTAAGCAACTGACTTCAGTCCAGGTCATGATCTCGCAGTTCGTGGGTTTGAGCCTTGCATCAGGCTCTGTGCTGATAGCTCAGAGCCTGAAGCCTGCTTCAGATTCTGTGTCTGTCTCTCTCTCTTTCTCTGCCCCTCCCCCCTCACACTTTGTCTCTTTCTCTGTCTTTGCAAAATAAACTTAAAAAAAATTTTTTTTTTTAAAGTTAGGATTCTAGAGGCACCTGGGTGGCTCAGTTGGTTGAGCACTAACTCCGGCTCAGGTCATGATCTCACGGTTCATGAGTTTGAGCCCCGCGTGGGGTTCTTTGCTAATAGCTCAGAGCCTGGAGTCTGCTTCAGAGCCCGTGTCTCCTTCTCTCTCTACTCCTCCTCCACTCATGAGCTGTTTCTCTTTCTCTCTCAAAAATAAAATAAACATAAAAAATTTTTAAAGAAGTTCAGTCTAAACCGGAAGTTGGCAAATCAGAACCTATGAGCCAGATTTGGTCTATTGCTTATTTCTGTGGCCAATGATCTAAGAATAAAGTTCATGCTTTTAAATGGTTTAAAAAATCAAGAATAATTTTTGACATATAAAAATTATATGAAATCCAAATTTTGGTGTCCACAAATAAAGTCTTATTGGAATACAGCCATAGTTAGGAATTTACATATGGTCTGCACTATAGTGGCAGAGTTGAATAGTTGTGAAAGAAACAGTTTTGCCTGCCTGTGAAGTGTACATATTTATTACCTGCCCCTGAAAGAAAAAGTTTGCCAACCCGTGCTCTGAAATATAACATCACAATAGCAGTTATGAAACCCAAGGAAAAAGTGGGTAGGCAAGTGAAAACATCATGTAACAGTCAACCCCAAACATCATGAATCAGTTGCCTAAGCAATTCCAAAACCCTACCTCCTCCAGGTGCTTGAGATATAAGGCACATTAATGCAAGACAAGTTTGTAAAGAGAAAAGCTAGAGTTGAAAGGGCAGGAAAACCGATGAACAGAGCAGCATATGCCCTACCATACTTCCTAAACTTGATTGTTAATATTAACACCAAATTTTCTGGAAAACAGAAGCATTCTGGATTCACTGGCCTAAGCATATTCAGCAATTCCTGAAGAAAAAGTGGAAGCTCACATGTGAACTCATGCCATATTGTAATAGAAGTTAAAGCATGCATATGCCCGGAAAAATGTACATCTCTTCCATGTAAGGCAGATCCGAGTTGCCTTGTTAACCCCAGAGAAGGATCAGTTTATGATCCTAGTCTCTGAAGACTGTTAACCAGCTTCCCTTGGTTCTTAATAGTGTTTGGATCTGAAGGGGCATCTTAGGGAGTACTATGTGAGTGGTCAGGCTCCCTGTAAAATGCTCAGGGAACAAACAACCAGCAGAAAGTGAGGAAAAGACAGTAAGAAAACAGAGCATGAGGTTCCCTCTAGGGGAATATATTTGCCCATTTATATCATTTATATGTGTTTATATATGTGTTGTGTAATGAGTCTCTTTTTCTCCCTCTGACCATTCTCCATGAAAAGAAGAATGAATGCTTCTTATAAATGCTAAAACTTTGAATAAAAAGAACGCCATGAGATTAGGGATTGTGCCCTGTGTCAAAAAAAAAAAAGAAAGGATGTGCAAAAAAGAAGTTCGAGATATAGATATGTGGGGGGCCATTGGAGTTTTAGCACATTATGTACATCTAGTAGATATTTGGTGAATGGAAAACTCAACAAAGTAAGTATGGATTTACTAAGGTATCCAGCAAATGATAAACAAGTATGCACATCTTTGAATCCTTATGTAGTTCTAAAAAAATTGAGATAATGTAGATAATTTTTCATAACTTTTGAATAAAAATAATTACTGTTTGTTTTCTTAAAAAATTCAAGTCAATTGAAGGAAATTCAGAAAATAAATTTAAAGGCCACCTTGTGACCAATGAAAGCAGTGCAATTGGAACTTTCTAGTCAGGCAGAACAGGAGAATACACAGACATTGGACTCTTCCAGGAGTCCAGATAGCATGAGAAATTTTGGTTAGAGGTGAAATAAAACCTTCATGATTAACTATCATTTAAAACACCAAGCTGTACGGGCACCTGGGTGTCTTAGTCAGTTAAGTGTCTGACTTCAGCTCAGGTCATGATCTCATGGTTTGTAGGTTCGAACCCTGCATTGGGCTCTGTGCTGACAGCTAGCTCAGAGTCTGGAGCCTGTCTTTGGATTTTGTAACTTCCTCTCTCTCTGCCCCTCCCCTGCTCATGCTGTCTCTCTCTCTCTCTCTCTCTCTCTCTCTCAAAAATAAATAAAACACTGAAAAAATTTTAAAACACCAAGCTATATTTATCTTCCAAGTGAAAATGGAATAATAGTCTGGATTTACCTCCCTCACTGAAACAACTAAAACCTGGACAAAATACTTGAAACAACAGTTTTTGTTCAGACAGTTGGGAAAATTCCTTGAAAGAGTAGAAACAAGTAATATGAGCCTTCTAATTGCCCCCAGCTTACTGTGTATTGTAGGATTTATAACATATGTAAAAGTAAAATGTATGTCAATAATGGTACAAAGACCAGGAGAGGGGAAATGGAAGTACAGCATGTTGAAGTTCTTATTCTATATATTAATATCACTTGAAGATAGATTCTGAAATGTTAAAAATGTATTTTGTAAGCCTTAAACAATCCTGAAAAATGTTGTGGCTGATGAGTCAACATATGAGATAAAATGGAATCTTCAAAATAGTTAATGAAAAATGTTAGAGGAAAAAGAACAAAGAGCAGATGGGACAAATAGAAACAAATAGCAAAATAACTGATTTAAGCCCAAACATATCAATATCAATAATTGCATTCATGTAAATTGTCTAAAATACCTCAATTATAAAACAGATATTGTCAGAATGTATAGAAAAGGAAGACAAATATATGCTTCCTAGAAAAACCTTATTTTAAATTTAAGGATACAAATTGATTACAGGAAATGCAGAAAAGATCTTAACATCAATAAAAACAAAGCTTGAGTGGTAATATTGATTCAGATACAATAAATTTCAGTGCAAAGAATAATATCAGGGATGGAGAACCTGGGTGGCTCAGTCAGTGAAGGATCCAACTCTTGATTTGGGCCCAGGTCATGATCTCACAGTTTATGGGTTTGAACCCCACATTGGGCTCTGTACTAACAGTTCAGGGTCTGCTTTAGATTCTCTGTCTCTCTGCCCCCTCTTCTGTGCTCTCTCTCTCTGAAAATAAATATTTTTTAAAAGAATAATACCAGGGATATTACGGTTATAGAAAGTCATTACATTTTAAGTGCTAAGTTTGTCAAGAGGACATGGCAATCCTTAACATTTACATGTTACAGTTCTTTAAAACAGATGAAGGAAAAACAGAACTGCAAGGAGAAACAGACAAATCCAAGTTACAGTCACAGATTTCAACACCTTCTCTAAGATATTGATAGAACAAATAGACAATCAGCAAGAACATATATGACTTGAAGAACACTATGAAATAACTTATCTAGTTGACAGTTGTAGAACTTGCCACCAATAACAGTAGAATGTACATTTGTTTCATTTGCACAGGGAACACTTGATAGTCAATATTCAGGACCATAAAATAAGTTTCAATAATGTTATTAAGATACATATAATAAAATGTATGTTTTCTGAGCAAAATGGA